TGTCACTTCTCAGACAGGGTAGAGGGATCTGCTGCACTACAACACGGGGAGCATCTCTGGTTATAATTTGGGAAATGTTACCTCAGAAGATCAGGATTATACCACACGAGAAAGGCTAAGTGCTAAGTAACAGTATATCTATACAAGGCACAATCACACAACATTAAAAAAACAACAACAAAATCAACTTTCCAGATTCTCATGATGATAGGAAAGAGTATTTTATATTGTTAGGGAAAATATGGTGGGGGGAGACAAAGTACAAAAACTCTGACTTAGGAGTGCCTGGGTGGCTCAGTTGGTTAAACATCCGACTTTCGCTCAGGTCATGATCTCACGGTTCGTGGGTTCAAGCCCCGTGTCGGGCTCTGACAGCCAGCTCAGAGCCTAGGGCCTGTTTTAGATTCTGTATCTCCCTCTCTCTCTGACCCTTTCCTGCTTACGCTGTCTTTCTCTCTCTCTCTGAAATAAATAAAAAAATAAAATAAATTAAATTAAAAAAAAAACCCAACTCTGATTTAAATGACTTCCACTATGTTGTAAAAATAAAGTTCACGTGGGGGCACCTGGGTGGCGCAGCCGGTTAAGTGTCTGACTTTGGCTCAGGTCATGATCTCAGGATTCGTGAGTTCAAACCCTATAGTGGGCTCTGTGCTGACAGTTTGGAGTCTGGAGTCCGCTTCAGATTCTGTGTCTCCCTGTCTCTCTGCCCCTTCCCCCACTTGTGCTCTGTCTCTCTCTCAAGAATAAACATTAAAAGGGGCACCTGGGTGGCTTAGTCGGTTAAGCATCCGACTTTAGCTTAGGTCATGATCTCGTGGTTCGTGGGTTCGAGCCCCGCGTCGGGCTCTGTGCTGACTGCCAGCTCAGAGCCTGGAGCCTGTTTCAGTCTGTGACTCCCTCTCTCTCTGACCCTCTCCTGCTCACGCTGTCTCTCTCTCTCTCCTAGAAATAAATAAAACATTAAAAAAAAAATTAAAAGAAAAAAAACCACTCCAGATAGATTTATAGTCATGAATATGAATACTATTTTTAAAGCATTAGAAAAAATGAAACAAGTGAAGAATGTACAAAGGATATGAATCTAAAATACAAAGAAGATAAACCCTGAAGAGTCAATAAACATGAAAACCTGCTTAACCTTATTAAGTAAGAATATAAGTTAAAATGAGGCAAGCATGAGGTTAGTACAAACTTTAGTCTGAAAATACACAATGTTGAAGCCAATATAAAAAAAAATGGATGAGGACAGGAAAACACTCATTGACTGCTTACGGGATTATAAATTTGTATCAGGGATTATAAATTTCTATCAGTTGTCTAAGTGTCCGATTGTTGATTTCAGCTCAGGTCATGATCTCATGGTTCACGAGATCGAGCCCCACATAGGCTTCTGCCCTAAGAGGGTAGAGCCTGCTTGGGATTCTCTCTCTCCCTTTCTCTCTGCCCCTCTCCATCACATATTAGTGCGTGTGTACACACACTCTCTCTCAAAATGAATAAACATTTAAAAAATAAATACATAAATTTATTTCTGCCTTGTGTAGAATAAACTTGGCTGTGTTTGGTCAAATTTAAAGTGAGCACTGCCCTATGAATCACTATGAATAACTATTCCAATTCTAGTTATGCCAGAGAGCTCACATACATGCTCACACAGGATATGTATTGGGATTTCCAATGCAGTATTATGGATAGTAGCAAATAAAAAATGTTTTTGAAGGAGCCCAGATGTTCACCAGTAAGAGAATACATAAATAATGTGGTGCAGTATTCCATGAAGGAGTACTACAAATACTACCCAGTGGATAAAGTGAGTGAACTGGGTATGTGCTTATTAACATGGTAGATATCAATAATAGGCAAATAGCAAAATGTCACAGAGTAAATTGAAACACATGCAAAACAATCTTTATGTTGTTTTCAGACACACAAATACATAGTGGAACTAGAAAAACTAGATACACAGCAAATCTGTGATAGCAGCTGCCTCTTTACAGGAAATAAGAGTGATGGGGGTCAGGGGTACAGAGAGGATGCAGAATGGGACTAGGGAGACAGTATCAGAGACTCAAAAGTATAACCGCTGAGATTTCTTTAATCCAAAGAACTAAAATACTAACATTTGTTTTAGGCGGCATTATGTGGAATTTTATTACATTATCTTCTGTTCTATCCTGTAATTTGCGGGAATTACTGTTCATAATACACGGAGTGGCTGAAAGGAAATATTACAAAATGGTGAGAATATTTTACTCTGGGTAATGAGTACAAGACTTTTGTTGCCTGCTACTGTACTAAATTTTGGCATTTTTCATAATAAGCATACGTTAATTTTATAATTGAAGGAAAAAATCTTGAACATGGAAAAATATACAAGTAGTGATTAGATTCCATATAATTTTGGTTCACATAAATATCTGTTGGCAGGATTGTGAAGGTTTTTACAAATGTGACACTTGTACTCTCACTCCTTCGGTAAAGTCCAACTTCTAAACAACCAAAATATAAACCTATTTTGAAACCCCTAAACTTTTACATAAAACATTAACGTACCAATGGAGAACAGAACTTGCTTCTACAAACAATATTCCAGTCTCTAAGATAGCATAGAGGGCTCCCTGATGGCTATAGACTGTTCATGCTTTCACCATTATCTATAGTATAAGAAAGCACTGTAAGAAACGAATTTGATGTGCAATCCAGTATGAGTTTTTACATTCCTGTGGTATTTCGGGGAAAGCATTTCCAACTGGAACATAATGAGAAAGAAAGAACCTCTCATTGTATTCCATTCCATCAGAAAACAAAATTGAGACTTTTAGGAGTGGACTTGGGGAAACCTGTTGTGAGGTACTGAGTGCCAGTACCCTAAGTACCAAGGTCTGGATTAGCATGGAAGAACCGGAGACAGAGAACAGTGGTTAGATTTTGGATACATTTTGGGGGAAGAATTTTCAGGACTTTTTGATGCATTTCATTTGGCAGTGATTATGGCTTAAAGAGGTGAAAGGAAGACATGACTGGAAGGTGTATTTCTCTAAGTTGGTAACTATAAAACTCTGATAAATTTAACAGAAAAACAAAATTATTGCTCACATTTTTTCTGCATACTCTGGGCAAGACTGCATTTGCAGTCATCATCAACAGAGCATGGTACTGACTTTTTTTTTAGTTTATTCATTTATTAATTTATTTTTAACATTTATTCATTTTTTGAGAGAGAGAGAGAGAGAGAGAGAGAGACAGATAGTGTGAGCGGAGGAGGGGCAGAGAAGGAGACACAGAATCCAAAGCAGGCTATAGGCTCTGAGCTGTGAGCACAGAGCCTGACGTGGGGCTTGAACTCATAAACTATGAGATCGTGACCTGGGCTGAAGTCAGACATTTAACCGATTGAGTCACCCAGGAACCCCTTTTTTTTGGTTTATTTTGAGAGACAGTGAGTGAGTGAGTGAGTGAGTGAGAGAAAGAGAGAGAAAGACCTGAGCTGAAATCAAGAGTTGGACACTTAACCAACTAAGCCATGCAGGCACCCTCATATTAATGATTACAAGAGAATCCCCAGAAATTAGTATCCAGAAGAGACAGGATGGATAACATAGTGTCATGAGTTATGGTATATCCAGCACTAAATAAGTGGCTGCAGAAAGAAGACCTACATTATTTCATAATAAATTGGCTGTGAAGAGGTATGGTATTGTGGAAAAAAAACTATGGAACTTTTATTACATGTAATTGGTATCCATCAAATAACCTCACCAAAACTCAGTTTTCTCATTTGTAAAATGAGCACATTATCATGCTTGTCTCAAAAGGGCCGTGGCAATCATAAAGAAAAGTAACTTCAATCGGCAAAATCCTGGGGCACCTGGGTGGCTCAGTCAGTTAAGTGTACTACTCTTCGTTTTGGTTCAGGTCATGATGTCACGGTTCGTGAGATCAAGCCCTGTGCTGGGCTCTGTGTTGACAGTGTGGAGCCTGCTTGGGATTCTCTCTCTCTCTCTCTCTCTCTCTCTCTCTGCCCCTCACCTACTTTCTCTCTCTCTCAAAATAAACGTAAAAACAAAAACAATCTGCAGGTCTACTTTGCTGGACAGTGCAGAGAAAGCAGCTAAGCGCCAAGCTCAACGCCTGGCCACAGCACGCATTAGAGGTGTATACTGAACATGGGAAGTTGCACTGTTCATGAAGAGAAAAAAGGAAATAGTCTGAGAAGAAGCAACCATAATGTAATGAAATAATGTACAAAAACAGAACCTTTTTCCAGTGAATATTCCACAGAAACTTATAAATATTGATACTGAATAATGACAGAGTAACTCCTATAGCCAACAGTTTCAAGAGGTGGTCACGTCCACTTAAAAAAACTGTAAAGCACTGGGGCACCTGGGTGGCTCAGTTGGTTAAGCATCTGACTTAGGTTCAGGTCATGATCTTGTGCGGTTCATGGGTTTGAGCCTCACATTGGGGTCTCTGCTGTTAGCACAGAGCCTGCTTTGGGTCTTCTGTCTAACTCTTCCCCCCCGCCCCCCCCCCCGCCCCCCCCCCCCCCGCCACACACACACTTTCTCTCAAAAAATAAACATTTAAAGACAAAAGAGTTCCTTCTCACATTAAAACAAAAAACTGTAAAGTGCTATATATATGACGTGTAACAATTTAAGTACATAGATAGAGTATGAGGGGAAAAAAGTATAAAAGTGAAAAGAGATGGGTCAGAATGTTGTTTTCCTCAGAATATGTTTTTATTGTTTCATACCTACTCCATCAGCAGTCCTTATTCGTCTCAGCTCACACACATAAGCGGGGACTTAGGGTGAGACTCCCTACCCCCAGTCAACCAATCAGCCAAGCCAAATCAACCCAGCAGTCAGCAGGGCTGGGAGCCAGAAGCCTCTTTCAACAGAAAGCTCTCCCATCCATAACACTGCTATACTGGCTTTAAAATTAAAGCAGCAGAGGAAATAATAACCCCGACATTTCAAAACCCAACTTACCAGGGTGATGTCTCGAGAAGCTGCAGCTGCGCTCATATGCAAACTAGGCTGCCGCACGGAGCTGCTGCAATCAAGGGCCCGAGCAAATGTCCCAACAGCACTGAATAATCCACAAAAACAAAGAAGAAAAATTAAGGCCCCATTAGTTTTTTATACTTAAAAAAACACATTTGGGTAGTGTGTGAAAACTGTAGAAGTCAGCGCTAAGGACCCGGGGCCTGCGAGCAGAGGTCTGAGTGGGAGGCTCAGTCTTGTCTGCAATCAGCGTGTTGCGCCCTGGGCGGGATGCCTCAGTTTCCTCCTATGTAGGGAACAGTGGTGGCCAAGAGGAGCGCTATGTTCATCTCTGCTACAATTCTTTGGGGTGCGGGGGGCTCGTTTCCTTCTTGCTCTCGGTGTGCTCATTTAGGGAGGATCTCGGGGCGCGGGGGACTGCATGAGGCAAACTGCCTCGAGGACTTATGGGAGGGGGACAGCACAGCGATGGAACCAACCTCCTCTGCATCTAGCAGTGTTAGAAAGTCTTCATTCCTGTGTATCGGCCTCCAAGAGAGGAGGTAATCTCCTAAATAGGCAGTGGGCAATTCTTTCCCATGTTCTTTACAGGTGGGGCTCAGCTGGGTCAATACTGCTTTACACAGGAAAACAGGTAAGTTTACACAGGTAAATAACAAATATAGCTGTCGTGTGGGTATGCGCCATGGAGAAGAAAAAAAAAAAACCAAACAAGTTCTTGGATGTCTGAGAATCAAATATCAAATGAAAAGTATTTTACGCTTTCCGCATTGACAAGGCAATTAACCATATATGGGTTATTATAATGAAACCGAGAAAAAGTGATTTGTGAGCCATAAAGGCGGGAAAGGTCCACTATGAAATGCCGTGGAATAAACAATTTGGTATTCAACTGTGCTCAAAAAGTGAGAAGTAAACGCAGAGTTTGACTATTACTCCAAAACAAGTTCTGACCACTTTTTTTTAGCCTAAATTGTGAGATCCCAATAACATTTTCCCCTTGAAATGAGGTATCATCAGTTGTAGCAACTTCTTCCCATAAAGGCTCAGGCTATAATAGATTTCCACCTAAGAAACAAATAACAATTGCCACAACACTTTTTTTTCACGTAATGATTTAAAAGGCCTTCCCATGGAAAAAGCATGAAATGAACATTAAGACCTGCTGCTTGTTGTATTTTATTTTAATTTCTTCTCTTCCCTTACTATACTGTAAGGAAGTTAGCTGAGGAAGAAACCTTTTTAATGTTCTGATGAACATGTAATGCACATGCACAAAAGCACACCCTGTACAACTATGCAGCAATAGCACCCCAGAACCATCCATGTCACTAACACCCAGGTCAGGGAACAACAACAGCAGCCCAGAAGACTCCTACTCCTTCCCAACCTGTCCTCTCTCCTTCTTCCCCAAAGAGAACCACCATCATGGGTTAGTTTTGCTCATTTGAGAACTTAATAGAAGCACACACTATGTACTCTTTTCACATGCGGCTTCTTTGTTCAAAATGATGTCTGTGGACTCACCCATGCTACTGGTACTAGAGGCATGCACTCATTTTCCTTGCTATGGAGTATTCCTTTGTATGATGCCCCCTCCCACTCTATTGTTGATGGATATCATGTCCAGTTTGGGACTATTCTGGGTAGTGCCATGAATGCCATCTGTAGATGCATCTTTTGGTGCACAGGTGTCTGTATGTACTTCTGCTGAGTACACATTCAGGAGTGACACTCAAAGGATGTGTGGGTCAGATAGCAAACTGGTTATAGCAACTTACACTCCCACCAGCATGATAGGAGGGTGATGGCTGCTCTACCTCTTTACCAATGTTTGGTACTGGCTTTTAAATTTTGACCGTTCTGGTGGGATGTGCAATGGTATTTGATTATGGTCTTCATTTGTATTTAGAAGATTTTTTTTAAAAACAAAAATTGAGGGAGTGCCTGGGTGGCTTAGCTGGTTGAGCATCCAACTCTTGATTTCAGCTCAGGTAATGATCTCAGAGTCCTGGGATCAAGCCCCACATTGGGCTTTGTGCTGAGCATGAAGCCAGCTTAAGATTCTCCCTCCCTCCCTCTCTCTCTCTGGGGCGCCTGGTGGCTCATCTGTTTGAGTGTCTGACATCAGTTCAGGTCATGATCTTGTGGTCCATGAGTTCGAGCCCCACATCAGGCTCTGTGCTGACAGCTCAGAGCTTGGAGCCTGCTTCAGATTCTGTGTCTCCCTCACTCTCTGTCTCTGTCTCTCTCTCAAAAATGAATAAATGTTAAAAAGAAAAAAAAAAAAACCTCAAGATTCTCTCTCTCTCCCTCTGCCCCTCTTCTCATGCTCTCTCTCTCTCTCTAAAAAAGAGCAAAAAAAAAAATGGGGCGCCTGGGTGGCTTAGTCGGTTAAGCGTCCGACTTTCGCTTAGGTCATGATCTCGTGGTTCGTGGGTTCAAGCCCCACGTTGGGCTCTGTGCTGACTGCCAGCTCAGAGGCTGGAGCCTGTTTCAGAGTCTGTGACTCCCTCTCTCTCTGACCCTCCCTGCTCATGCTGTCTCTCTCTCTCTCCCCTAGAAATTAAAACACACACACACACACACACACACACACACACACACACACACATTAAAAAAGAGCAAAAAAAATGAGAAAGGCACCAAGTGCATCTCCTTTGTGTCTTTCATGCTGGCTTCAAGGAAAAAGGAAAAAACAAAGAAAATCAAATTTAAACCTGCAATGTCTATTAAATAACCCCAGATCTGGGTAATCTGCCTGGCATCTCTAGGCCAGTGGTTCCACCAATGATTAATTTCCGCCCTCACGTCTACAGTCTCCTCTGTCTCCTGACTGGCTCCCCAACAATGTACATCAGGTCTCCACCTGGTCACCAGTGGCGGGGTGTGTGGGCACTGGAGTCCAAATGCCTGGCCGCCAACATGATGTGTGACCTCCATGATGACAGACACCATGAACAGTGCTGTCATGTCCAGGTGGGCTGAGACCCGTCTCCTTTGCGTCATGAAAAACTGTTCAATGGAAAACTAGAGAACCTAGTGAAGACTCTTGTAATCATGTCTGTACCAACTTGATTCTAATATTTTGCCAGGCTTGGATCATTTTTTAAGGAAATAAATATTAAAATTTTGTTAGAGCTTCCTGTACACATCCCCAGAACCCATACATATACATGATACACATACTCAACTATATGCCCATTAACGAAGACACTGTTTGTACACGGTAAAACTTTTATAAGTGATCATATTGTGTGTATCCTCACTCAACATTATTTTTGAGATTTATCTCTTTGCTACATATCCTTTAATTCGTTTATTTTCATTATTGTAAAGTAATATTCCATTACTGAATATACTTGAATTCACTTAGCAAGTGCTAGCTGATGTACGCTTAGTTTTTTTCCCCAATTTTCCCACTATTTACTATGTTATGATAATCCCACTTACTTGCTGCCTTGCAATAACTCCACCATGAGTATCATTTACTTTTGTAATTGAAAAAATAAAGATAAAGTTTTGTCCCATTCATTTCTCAAAGGGTGTGGTGGGTCAAGTGCAGGGGAGCAAGCCAGTTGGGCAGCCAGGCTTAATGCTCTCCAAGAAAGCCAATGCTTAGCAGCAGGTCTTCCTCATGTGGAGGTGCAGTAAGGGGAATGCAAGGTGCACATTATTACACACACCTGAATAGTCCCCATCTAGTGTAAAGGACCTAACTGCTTTAATTAAAGATATGGGAATTCCAGTGGTGAATTTCATCTTCATACTGTCTGTGGTGCACACAATTTTACAAGAAGAAATTATTATTTTCTTAATCAGTAAATTAATAAATACATTTTCAAACAAAAACTAATGATTAATCATATTTAGGAAGTGGTATGATACATATTTCGACCTTCTTACTTAACTAGAAAAAGAACACAACCAAAGGAAAGGCAGAATACAAAGAAAGGAACACATATACACCTATAAATTCTTATAAAAAGCAATTTCTTGGGCCAGCTCAGTTGGTTAAGTGCCCAACTCTTGATTTCAGCTCAGTTCATGATCTCACAGTTCGTGAGTTTGAGCCTCGCACGGGGCTCTGTGCTGACCCTGCTTGGGATTCTCTCTCTTCCTCCCTCCCCCTCTCTCTTTCTCTCTGCCCCTCGCCCACTTGTATGCATGCAATATCAAGTAAAATGAGTAAACATAAACACACACACACACACACACAAAATGTTTAAAAAAAAAAAGAAACTTCTTGACTCAACAGTGTCATACTTACCGTGCTACAACTAAAAACTGGTCAATCTGGCGATCTGTAAGTGGGCTATTTGGATCCCAAACTTTAACTTCCAATTTGGACTGTTCCCTCTCATCTGATTCTCCTGTCCAAGAACAAAAGAAATGGAGTCTTGTTATTTAACAAGGCAACTGTCACATTCGGCTGATGACTGTGGGCACCACAGCATTCAAAATGTAAGGCAAATATTTTGTGATTTTGGTACATTATTTCAGCAGACAGACAACATTTTGTAAAGTCAACACTGATAATAATACAACCAAACCAACCATATGAGATCTTCATTTAGTTAGTAACATGTATTTCCTGGGGCGCCTGGGTGGCTTAGTCGGTTAAGCGTCCGACTTTCGCTTAGGTCATGATCTCGCGGTTCGTGGGTTCGAGCCCCGCGTCGGGCTCTGTGCTGACTGCCAGCTCAGAGCCTGGAGCCTGTTTCAGAGTCTGTGTCTCCCTCTCTCTGACCCTCCCCTGCTCATGCTGTCTCTCTCTCTCTCCTAGAAATAAATAAATAAAATAAATAAATAAAAAACAAACAAACAAAAAAAAACATGTATTTCCTGAGCACCTGCATGTGTGAGGTACTCAGCCTCATACTGAGGGACATAAAGACAAAACAAAAAGCACTCCTGCCACGAGATACTTTCACTGGTAAAACTAACTATATAAGTCACTATGATACAAACAAAAAGAAATAGGTGTCATAAGGGACATACAGAAATGGCTGTAAGATTCCAACAATTAGAGAAATCACTTCGGACAAGCTAGGGAATGATGCCATAAAGTGCGTGGCATTTCTGCTAAGAACTGAACGGTCTGATTGCACCAGCAGGGAGAAGGACTTAAAGTAAGAAATAAGAATATGAGCAAAGTAATGTGGCTTTATGATGTGAAAGAGAGAAAAACAGCTCATTTTGTCACAAGCGAATTAAAGGGAATGAGAGAGTACGATAACTAAGAGAAGAGGTTATGAACATATCACTGAAGATTCTACACAGATTTTACTTCGAGGTAAAGAGAAGCACTAGCCGTTTCAGTAGGAGAGTGGCAAGACCAGAACCAAACTTTGTATCTCACACTTAGCAATGGTATGTGCTTTGCTTTACAGAGATATCTGATGAAGACAAAACATGGTGCTGACACTGATGGTAGAGAGTAAAGAGAGGAGATGTCTGTAGCAGGTCAATTTCAGGTCTTGAGAACTGCATGCATAGCGTTGGCATTAACAGAAAGCAGCAATGCTAGCAGGGCTGAGGAAAAGGCTGGCAATAATGCAAGATGCTTTCTTTATTTTAGGAATCTCTCACAAGGAGATAGATCTGTTGGGCAGGACTCAATGTCAAGACAGGACAGTAATTGAAGAGACATGGGAGGCAACTGGAGGTCTGATTTTTTTAAAAAATATTTTTATTTATTTCTAGGAGAGAGAGAGAGAGAGGGAGAGAGAGAGAGAGAGAGAGACAGCGTGAGCAGAGGACGGTCAGAGAGAGAGGGAGATACAGACTCTGAAATAGGCTCCAGGCTCCGAGCTGTCAGCACAGAGCCCGACGCGGGGCTCGAACCCACAAACCGCGAGACCATGACCTAAGCGAAAGTCGGACGCTTAACCAACTAAGCCAGCCACCCAGGCGCCCGGGTCCAATTTTCAACTATGGATTTCTTATTAGGCTGTGGACTGGTTTTGGCTTTGTTTAGCTTTTGATTTATATGAGGCAGGATGCCCTGCACTGGCTGTTATGTGCTGAAGCTAAGCGTCCCTGATGACTGACAAACCTTGGCTAGGAACCTCAACTGTGCTCAGACCTAATATAGGAGCAAGCAGGTATCAGGGGCTCAACAGGAGAAAGGGGGTAGGGGAGGGTGGCAGACCTAGCCTTTCCATCTGCAGCCTCCTAAGTCAGCCACTGCTGTCAGGGTGGGACTTGCCCAGTTTTGTTCAAAGGCAGGTAACCATACAGCCAATCTCCACCCCTAACATAAAGAAGCACAAGCAGAGCAGAGCGAGTACTAGGTCTAAAGTGTTTGAAAGGATTTTGGTTTTCATTGTTTTTGCTTACAATTCTCGGCAACCTAAGCCAAGACATTCAACATTAGCTCACAGTTAAAAGCCAGAAGATTTGCAAACTGTATGAAACTTGAGAAAGTAGAATGACACAATTACACTTCCCTGTAATCTGCAAATGATAAAACTTAAGATAAATAATAATGGTATGGAGGCACCTGGGTGGCTCAGTGGGTTAAGTGTCTGACTTCTGCTCAGGTGTGATCCCATGGTTTGTGGGTTCCAGCCCCACATCGGGCTCTGTGCTGACAGCTCAGAACCTGGAGCCTGCTTTGGATTCTGTGTCTCCCTCTCTCTCTGCCCCTTCCCAATCACGCTGTCTCTCTTTTTCTCTCAAAAATAAAGAAATGTTCCGTATCGTGGGGTGCCTACGTGGCTCAGTCAGTTAAGTGTCCAACTCTTTATTTTGGCTCAGGTCATGATCTCACAGTTGGGAGACTGAGCCCTGCATCAGATTCCATGCTGGTTGTATAGACTGCTCAAGATTCTCTCTCCCTCTTAAAAAAAAAAAAAAAAAAAAGAGTTCCATATCAGTCACTCTAAACTAATGAGAATCCCCCATTTTGGGTTTGCCATATAATTACATTTATATCACAACGTGATCATTTCTTCACAGGGGAAAAAAACATTTAAGAACTCTTGAATAAACCTATTTAGAAGCTATAAGACCAAACGCTCAGCTAAGCTCGTACTAATCTTTGGAATAGTCCTGGTAACTGGTATGAGCCAAAGACAGGACCAAGATTACTGGTCATGTTCACGCTACTCATTGCAATAATTTCACTCCACTGTTCCACTGAAGATAACCCGGGCAATTAGTCCAGTCCCAATCTCATCCCCACCAGCCTATGAATATCCTCCTAATCTCTGAATTCTTAAAAAATGCATTTACCAACTAATTACATAAGTGTATATATATAGCACCTTATTTTTGCTTCAAAAATTCTTCATAATTTTGAAAAAAATGTAGATTCAGCAATGATTTTAAATGTGGTATCCCTAACCCTCCAGCTACCTACAATTTTAAGATTTCTAGAAAACATGGATGAAAAAAAGAAAAGAGAAAATGTAGACAAAGAACTTCTTCAGTTTTATCACCTAAAAGTACATTATGTTGTTCAAAGACTCTGAAGAACTAAAGCTGTATGGAACTCATAGGCTCTTTCCTGGATAATTGGAAATATTCTCTATTCTAAACACAATTCACTTTCTTTGCACCAATCATCAAGGTACTATACTTTTCATGTTATATTAAATTCAGAAACTCACAGAGATGCCATTAGTCACCATCTTTATTCAATATGGTTCTGAAGGTTCTGGCCAATGTTTTATATTATGAATCAAAGGAACTTACTAGAGACAAATATTGTGTATCATTTACATGTGGGATCTAAAAAAGCAATACTCAGAGTGGAACAGCGGTTACACGGGGCTACAGTATAGGGAAACTGAAAATGGATAGACGTTGTTTAGAGATACAAACCTCCAACTAGTAGAAAAGCAGGTCCTGGACATCTAATGCACAGCACAGTAATTACAGTCAGTAATACTATAAACTTCAAAGTTGATAAGAGACTAGATATTAATTGTTCCCACAACAAAAAGAAAGTATAATCATATGATGTGATAGTGGTGTTAGCTAAGCTATGGTAGTAATCACATTGCAACATATAAATTCATCAAATCAATATACGGTAAACAAACTTATACAGTGTTACATGTCAATTATATCTCAATAAAAATAACATAAAAATAAGTAACTAGACACTATAAAAAAGTAACAAGGCACAATAAAAAAGAATATAAAAAATGTAGTGCCATTCCAAAGAAAATATAATGTAAAAAAATATATCTTCTATTATAGCAGCAAAAATATAAAACACTAAGAAACAAAACGAGTTATATTTATATAAAACGAAACTTTCAAAGAAGATAACTTAAAAAAGAGTAAAGATTTAAAATCCTAAGGCTATCATTTCTGTACAAGTACACCAAAAGGCTAAATTTCACAAAATTTAGTTTTTAAAGCCAATAAAATAATTTGAATATTAATCTCCACAAATCCAATTCTTGATTTCAGCTCAGGTCATGATCTCACAGTTCATGAGTTTGAGCCCCACACTGGGTTCTGTGCTGACAGCATGGAGCCTGCTTGGGATTCTCTCTCTCTCCTTTCTCTGACCCTCCTCTGCTCACACTTTCTCTTTCTCAGAATGAATAAATGAACTTAAAAAAATTAATTAAACTGGGTGGGATTATAATATACAGCAATAGAAATTAAATGATGTCGTACTGGCACAAATAGAAACAAAAGCACAGAAGTAGACTAGATCACACAACAATTTATACTTCATAATTATTACTTTTTTTAAGTTTGTTTGTTTAATTTATTGAGAGAGAGAGAGAGAGAGAGAGAGAGAATTCCAAGCAGGAGAGCCCAATGTGGGGCTTCAACACATAACCAACTGAGCCACCCAGGCATCCCCAAAGTTAAGTAGTACTATAATACCACAAATATTAATGCAAAAATAACATTTATTGTTAACTATTTCCCAAGAACCCTTAGAGCACGGTTTCTCAACCTCAGCACTATTGATACTCAGGCCTGAATAACTCTTTGTTGAGGGGGCTGTCCTGTGCATTACCAGACGACCAGCAGCTTCCCTGGCCACTACTCACTAGAAGCCACTAGCATCTAAGCCCCACCGCTCACTCCCTCTACCAGCAGTGACAGCCAAAACTGTCTACAGACATTGCCTAATGTCCCCTGCCCCAGGGTTGAGAATTACTGTTCTACATGGTTGCAATTAACACCTGCTTACACCTAATTGTTATAGGTTGGTGTTTTTAAGTTAGTTAACATCCACCACATTTGTTGAACCGCACATTCTGCAAAATTACACACTAAAAAACTAGGGTTTGCGGAAAGTAAGACTTTGAAAACCTACGAGGTAAGCAGAGAATTTTTAAAAAGTAATAATCATAATAAAAACACTAGCACAGTTAAGTCTCTACTGACATTTGCA